GGCGCCTGTAATCCTAGCTACTCAGGCTGAGGCAGGAGAATTGCTCCAACCCGGGAGGAAAAGGTTGCAATGAAGGAGCCGAGATCGTGCCACTGCACACGAGCCTGGGTGACAGAGCAAGACTCCATCTCAGAAAAAAAAAGGAAAAAAAAAAAAAAAAAAAAAAACACAAGCCACAGCCTTCAGTCATGTAGTCATAACCAAATGATTTTTTTTTTTTCCCCAAACAACCTGAATTCTTCCCCAGCTGAGCCTCGAGAAGAGAAGTCAGACCAGCCAGTACCTTGATTAGAGCCTGTAAGACCCTGGCTTGGACCTCTGACTCACACTGTGTGAGATAATAAATGTGTGTTGCTTCAAGCTACTAAAATTGGGATAATTTGTTATACAACAATACAATACTAATATATCCAGCATATAAGAACTGGAATTGTGAAGAGGTAGTGTATGTAGTTTTTTGTTTTTTGTGTTTTTTTTCTATTTTGTAAAGTCTAAATTTTTCTCCTTTGGAAAATACCAGAAATATCCCCAAGTATAAAATAGTTTTAAATAGTAAATATGTTAAATTTAAAAAATATTTTACAAATATTATCTGTACTTCTCTTTAATTTTATTTTCCAGGTTTCAAATAATTTTAGATTATATGAAATATTCAAATAATTTGACTTTATAATATAATCTCACTCAAGCATAAAAATAGTCCCTATTTGAAAGCCCAACAGAAATGCATATAAATAAGTTTCTTGCTCTAAATTTAATACTCTTTAAGAATTATATTTTAAAAGATGATGTGAACAGTTCAACATCTTTACATATTTTACTAAATCACATTGTATGTTTATTATACAACTATAATTTTATGAAATTAGTTATTTCTTGGAGCATTGCCCTTAAGCTACTGTATTATATCCCAAATTGCTTTTCTCAAATAATAGCCTGCCTGTTGGAAACTCAGCAGAGACAAGTATTAAATAAAGATTATACTGTTCCTTATCCCTCAAATTGTCACTATAAAACAGGTAAGTACTAGGGTTAAAAAGAAAAAGTGAAAGTAGATATTGCTGGCAAGAAGCTAAATTAACTATGTCTACCTTGAATTCTAACAATAAAAGGGTGTCAGAATAAAAAATAAAGCTATGCAACATGAAATCATGACAAAGACTTATTGGTGTAAATACAGATGACTCTCCAGTTATCAAGTCCCTGGTTGAGGTCTTATTGTGATTATACCCAACAGCTTTGAATCTCAACTCTAAATGACTGCTGACAATAAGTGCTCTGGAATGACTTGATCCCAGGCAACTTGGTGAGACACTGCTTGTAATGAGCAAGGCTATTTTGATAATACTGCAGAAGCTTTCCTTCAGTAAAGCTTTAATCTGGGTTTTAAAAAATGCCTTCTCTACCTCTCTTTACTTTGCAGTTCCTATTGACTCAAGGACTCAGCCCTCATCTTGGAAGGATAGACAAAATCCTCTTATGTCTTTCTTTCTCAAAGACATATATTTGAGAGTAATATATGAGCTAGTATCGGTTTGCTGTATTTAACCTGATACTTTGAAATGTTCCCTACCAAAACACTGGAGTCAAATGCCTATAAGAAATATTACATTTAGTTAACATATAAATTTGCCAGAGTAAGACAATGGCATAAACAGTATTTTAATTATCTTGCTGGTGAGAGAATTAGCTTTGCACTCTAGCAAACTCTGAAAATATGTGTGTGTGTGTATATATATATATATATATATATGCTGTTAAAACAAGTCAAAATTCCAAAAAAATTAAACACAGAAAAAGAAAGTTTGTGTCTTTGACTAGATATTTGCTTTTTATTGTTCATTAAATACCAGTGCACAGATGAACTGGCATGAACACAAATGTTTATGGTAATCTTCACAGCTGTGTGTAGGATGCAGCTAATTTTTGGCATAGAGTAGAGCATTACGTGTTTCTATATCATTGCTTTGTGGAATGTAAAAAATACATTTTTTAATGAAAAATACAAAATTCTAATACAATTAGATGAAGATTTAGAATAACACATAGAATATATATTTGTGCACCAACATGAACACACAAATATCTGTTAAACATAGTAAATCTTTTTTTTAGTTTTGGAAGGGGAGGCGAATGACAAGAAGATGGTGCTAAAAAGGAATTTAAGAAATAAAAATCCATGAAAACAGACATAAGGGAAAGATTTAGTATGGTCTCTGCAATAATCACCAATTTATATTCATCATTTCATTGCCAGTATTTAAGAATATGAACATATTTGAATGCAGTTATTAACAGGAAATGTATACTATTTGTCTTCAACTTTAAAAATTTGACAGCTTATTTATTGCCACTTTTTAATATATTTCATAATTAGTACTTAAAGAGCTAGATAACGATCCTTAACGTTATATAATGAAAGGTATATATCCATTTTTCTATTGTTGATAGATTTAATGATTCCTTTTTAAACCGTATTATGTGACTTTTAAATTTTTTTAAATAGAATTCTAATCGTCAATGTTTAAATGTTTTAAATGTTAATGTTTTCAATGTTCAAAATCTTTCTAAAGCACCTAATACAACTCTTTCCACCTTAAAGTAAACTAAACCTAATTTCATGTATCTATGATTGACAGTTATGATTTAAAGAGCAACTCTTGTGTATCAGACTTTGTGGTAGGCAGTTTACATTTCCTCTGTCGTGTAACTGACCACTCTGTATAAGCAGTGTGTCTAGTCACATGCACCTCTGTGAATTTTAGAGAAAGCGTCTTTAGACAAATCAATAGTAGACAGCATGGTGTTGCCTTTGTGGAAAGAAAAAAAAGGTGCTTCTTCCTCAGACACACCCCTAAGCCAGAGCACAAAAGTTCACAAGCTAACCACAGGGCGCTTCAGCCCACTCCTCCCCAGGCACCTTAACCCAGGACCTTGATTAAAGGTGGTAAAATGGAAGTTCAGAAAGTTAAGCATCTTAAACCAGGATGTTACAAATATATTAAAATTAGAAACTATCGTCAAAAAATAGGTATTTTGTTAAAGAAAATATACACATATACATACAATGAAACATCAATGATAATTTAAACCTATATGTGTTTATAGAAGTGAATGTTCATGATATATTTTAAGAGAAAAAAGGCAGTTAAATGTCATATTTAGAGTAGGATTCAAGTGAACTTTACAATGCAAGAGAGAGGCGAGAATATTACACAGAATTTTTTTTTCAAAGAAATTATCATCTCTAGTAGTAAATATTTCAGTGACTGCATTTTGCTTACTGTGTTTTCAAACTGATTAAAACTTAACCTTTATTCATCTTGCAGTAAATATTGCATTTTTCACATTTCATTAAATACGTTTTTCTGAAAACTAGATATTATAATTTAGTTTTGAAAAATGAAAATCAGCTGTTGTCATTGACAAGTGTTCAGTTAATAATAACTTAATTGCTCAGACACGATGAGGAAGGGATAATATTTCCTGTTTTCTAGCTGTATTTCTGATGTGTCATCAAAGTGATAATTGAACATTACCAGGAATGAGGCTGAATAGTCATTAGTAAAAATAACTACACTTAATAATTCTTATGGTTACTGAAACAATCTTGTAATACCAGCTGTTCTGTTTAACAAATATCAATATATGGATTGTTCCACACGTGAAACATTTAGTGAAATGACAAAAAAATCTTCTCATGCAAAATATGCACATTGTTTAAACATGTATCAATAAAGTTATCTTTATTAACACATCAATTTTAAAATCTAAAAATATCAATTATAACAACTGTATGTGTTCACTTATTACAAGTCCTCACTGACTCCCGCTGATCTGTGGTTTTAAGGAAGCAAGTAATTTAGTTTGTTTCAGTGTTACATAAAATAAAAATAGGTTCAACTTGAGGCTCGAGGTATTCATCTATAATTAACTGATTTATTTCTTAAAGATTTTTCCCTCCCTCTGGAAAACTGAGCCTGCAAGATAAGTCCATTTTGTTTTAAATGAGATGTTATTTTCTGCAAATGTTTGTGTATAAATATTGCAACGTATCTGTAGGGATGGTGTGATTTTTCTTCTTCAATAGAGTTAATGTAGCATCCTAGTAAATAATCCACACGGTTCATTAAGAAAACGTGTTCTGGGGGATTTTTGTCTGTGATACTCTTCACCTGTTATTTTCAACCAGCCTCAGTCTATTTGCTCTATCACAATCACTACTAAAATATCTTCTTAAATTGCTCGTTTCTAGATCCTTCCTTCTCATATGCTCAGGTGAATACATGGGTGAAATTTAATATGGAACTGAAATAAATACTATGCAAGATAGATTCCTTAAGAAATGTTTCTCTGATTTATATGACATAATTGTATTTTACTAGTTTACCTGTCCATCTGTAAAACTTTGTTTTGGAGATTTCATATATTATAATGTTTAAGAAATATGCTATAAATTTTTAATAGTGTATTTCTTCATGATACCCTTATATAGTACCAGCCACACGTGTTTGCTAAAATCTAAAGATTATTTTTGGCTCCTATAGAATGTGTGAAGTTGTGAAATTTTTGTTTTGTTTTGTTTTTATGCCCCAAAGATGTGGAACGCTTGATATAAGAGGGTAGATTTAATGAGAGAGAGAGAGAGAGAGAGAAAGAGAGAGGGAGAGAGAAAGAAGCTTAAGAGATTATTTTGTCTTGTCAACGATATTGTTATTGAATGTAAGCTGCTAAACTTCTTAGCACCAAAGAAGTAACAAACAGTAAAAACAACTACACAAAACAGAACAGAGAATCAGACAGGCTGACGAACACAGTACAATAAAGCAGCCAGTACCGATGATCAGTGGACATCAATTTGTCTTTTGGGCTGTAGCACCTGCTACTAATTGGTGCAAAGAGCTCACCAGTCAGTGTGTGGTTTAGCGCACTCAGCTGTCTCCTGTATGTGCTGCGAGAAGCAAGATAGCTAATTGCTGTTGCTTCAGTGCCAGTGAAATCAACGTGCTGAGCTAATAGCGACAGATAGAGGGCAGACAGATTCCTGCGAGCAGCTTAGAGTTAGTTGCTTGTGATAACTAAGGCAGGTGGCATACATCTCAGAACGTAGAGAATGCTGGTATGCTTTCTGAGTTAACATGTTGAAGTGTTTCGCTTTTTTTAAAAAAAAAAAATGTCTAGTAACATTTTCTTGATGATATGAGAGTGGATATCAATGCCTCACAGAAACAAGAGGTGGAACATGTGAATGAATCGTCTTGGAATTAGATTATGAGCATTGGTTCTTTTTAAAGGGATGTGCAAGAGGCAGCCTTGGCAAGAAAACTTGCTGCATAATCTTACGTGGACTAAAGATGAAACTTTAAACCGCAAGTAAGTTCTTCCCCGGCCCTTCTCTTATTTTTTTCAAATTTAAGGCAGCAGTGAACCACAGAGAAAGTTAAGATATTCTTTCAGTACAATGAGCTCTGTCATGATGCTACTTTCTGTCATGCTTGTTGAAAGAATAGAGTAGTAATGATGTGTAAGTAATTATTTGCTGGAAGAGTGAACACAACTGCCTGTCTTTTTATTCTTCCTGATTACTGTCTGGTATTGTAATTTTGTTTAGATGACAATGTAATCTTTACAAAGACAGAAGCTTTTGAATTATAACTCTGGTTTGTTATTTGAAAGAATTTTTAGTCCTTTAGAAAGTCCTTTCTTTAGAAAGAACTTTTTCTACTTCCTTCAACCTGACAAAATATAGAAAAATGGCGTCAGAATTGACATTTTGTGTGTATGCAAATATTGATGATTTGTTTTATGAGTGGTTGTTGCTGGAGGTTATAGTTGGTAGTTGAGTTAAAGTAGCTAATTCTGCATCACAATGAACAGTATTTTTTATATTTTTTGTGAGTATACTGATATTTTTACTACAGGTGTTTTAGTTTACTAGAATATCTACCTCTTTTGTAAGTATCTGGGAGCATTAACCATTGAGAATTTGAATCTAGGTCGACTTTATCCTTCTAATACAGAATTAATGCTAGATAGTATTAACACCTTTCTCACTTTGTGATGTGGCCTTTACTTTAAAAAATATACTTTGGTAGCTGTAGAGAAGGTGGGCCCTGAATAACAAGTTTCACGTTCAGTCTGTTGGTACTCCGTGTCTCTAGTACACACAGACGGCCATCGATTTGATGGACTTGTAGCACGTATGCAGAAAGCCATTGTTAACTAGAGTATAATACCATGGCCTCCTGTAAGGTTAACTCCAAGTCATACTCATTTGCTTTCACAAAAGAGCCAATTATCAAATCTAGTAACCAGATACTTAAGTTATTATGTTGCTTAACATTAGAGAAACAAATAATCTGTAAAAGAGGCATATTTTGAGCATAAAATGCTTGCTGTGGTTTGCACAGCAAGTGTGAAGCTTTTTTATATCTGCTCATGTGAACTGTTTTTTTCCACGTAAAATTGGCTTTACTATTAGTTTCTTTAGTTTGCTTAAGTTGTGACTAAGTGTGAGTGAGTGAATGTATCTGCACATGTGTGTCTTCAAGTTTCAGCAACTTGATCCCCTTGACTGTGGACTCATTCTCCTATGAAATAAAAGTGCTATTTAATGGGTGCCCAATTCCACTGAGTGGTGACCTCCTAACCCCTCAGCTGTTGCAATTATGTGCTGAGCAGAAAACGTGAATCCCTACAACTTTGTCCCCCAAATTACCCTTAAATATAATCATTAAGGGACCTGAACAGGTCAGAGTTTGTGCTACCCGAGTGTCAGCAACTTCTCTGGAAAATTATGGCATGAAGTTTTGAATATTATTCACAAAAAAATATTTGAACACTTCATTCTCTAGGAAATTTTTAAAAATATAGTATATCCACTGATAATATTTGATAAGTATCTGAACTATAAATTAGTTTTTAAAAAACACTAATAACTATACTTTTAAAAAAAACCTCAGTGAAAGATAAATGTCCATTACAACTTTGCTCTTAATTTGTTCACGTTTAAATTTTGCATAGTATGTGTTGTATCTTTTTATCATACAACTTTAACAGCAGATAAGCAGACATATATTGTTTTTTATGCCACTTGCAAAAATTCTGCAGTATTTGTTTCAGAGCTTATGTTTGAAATTAAAGGCAAAAGGTAATTATTTTTTATCAAAGGAAATCACTATTATTATTTGATCACAAAATGTATGTCAAGCAAATACATGTTGAGGAATTAATGATTCCTTTGTGTTATCACTTTATCACAAGGACTTTTACTCCCTAGACAAATTATGAGCCTTCTCAATAATAGTAAAATGTAAAACCAAAAATTATAAAGTAATTCCCTAAATGTGACCACTTTATTGGGTAGGTGAGTGTACTCCCCCTTTCTGTAAATGTGCAGATACAATTTCAGACTATAGGAATTTTTTTTCTACTTAAATGGTGTAAAACAATAGGTTTTCATAAACCAGCTGTTATATCAACTTTTTCCTAACACAGAAGCCTCCCTTATACGTTTACATTTTATTGTATCCCTAACGATGGGAGAAATACATGGTTTTAAGTTTCACTGAGGATCTCAACCCTTGGAAAAGTTAGCAGAAATAATAATCTAAACAAAGATACCACACCACTTCATAAATTGATCATGTCTATTATCTAAAAGTTTAATTTTACTTTGGACTCTATTGGTTTTGGTCATAGTCATTTTGTTTGTATTTTTCCATTTTTTAAAAGAGTTCTTAGTATCGGGATCATTGTGAACTAGAACAATTTTGTCATTCTATGTATCTGTGGTTTTCACATGCAAAGTAAGACTACACAGTTATAATATTGAAAAGAATGTTTTACTTGTCAGGGATGGCATCCAAAAACTATTTTTGTTATTCTCAACTAAACCTTTGTTTGAGGTTTGATACATTTTTTTGTGTAATGAGATTTTGTTGTTTTTGTTGTTAACACTATAGTATGACAGAATGTGGATTCAAAACTAACAGTGACCTGGGGGGTGTCATTTATTAGTTTCAGACTCAAATATCACCAAGTTGCATCCAAGAGTATTGGAAGGAAGTGTGGCAACTCATTAGTGCTCATAGTCAATTTCGAGTGAGGGGGAAAAAAAAAAAGCTAATGTGAATAATTTATGACTAGATTATTTTCTCTTGATAGAGTCGCTATATAAATTCCAGAGGTGTAAATCACTCAGAAACTGTAACATTTATTTAAATTGAATACTGGAAGCACTTAGGTTGAAATGGTGACAAGAACCGAGAATATACCCAGAGATTCCAAATACACATGTTAATTTGTTACATGTATGGATGGCAGGGGCAGAGTGGGAGGTAATTTTGAATGTGAGAGTGATTAGCTTGACCTTAAAGTACAATTTCCAACTGTGATGTATAAAGTGAAGTGAGAGACTTGGAAGAATATGCAGACAAATGTGACTTAGTCTCAGCCTAAAAGTCAGTCACATTGAGTAAGATGGACACATACACCCTGCCCCACCCCCCCCACACACATCACATGTGTGTGCTATTTATTAATATAAGGAGCGTAGAAACATCATATTCTGGCCCAAGGACAACAATTATTTTCCTTGAGGTCCTCAGCATACCCCCTAAACATTTGTTCCTCAGTGTCCACATTTAAAATACACAACGCGTAAATGAAGCCAGGAAAATGAATAGGAAAACTGTAAATTGCTAGATAATTTAAAATACAAATAATTGTTTTAATCTTGTACCAATTATTTCCTAAGATGATCGTGTGTGTGTGTGTGTGTGTGTGTGTGTGTGTATCTCAACAATAACAGCAACAAAATAATTTCCACCTAAAGAGTAAAAGTTTCTGAGCACTGTAATGGACAAATTCTTTTACATCATAAGTTGTTTAAATGTTGCACTCACCCTTAAATATCAGATCATGGCTATTGAAGCTATAAATGTAAGAGGCAAAAGCAGTCATCGTTTCAAGAAACTAAAGAAAATGAAGCATTTCTTTCCTTCAAGTTGGTAAATGGAAAAGTTCAAAGCTTGTTTATTGTTCTCCTTGATGGATGAGAAATTGATAGGAGGTGTAACTTTCTGTATGGCTTTTAGAGTGTAAGCATTCTCAGGCCATGGCAGATGTGTAGTTCTCATTACTTTGACAAGTCATTCATTCTCACGCCTAGTGAAAGGGCGAGTTTCCGATAGAATTAAGCACTGTTTCCTGACCGGGGGAGGACAGCGGTGTGTGCGATGAAGTGCATCATTCAAAAGGAAGCCCAGCTAATGAATGCTCTCCCTGTTGTTTTCATGGAGGTGTCAGAATGAGCCTTTTCTGATTCTGCATCACTGAATCCTTATGGAAATGCAAATTGTTTATCCAAGGACAGTGACTTTTCTTTTTGCTTTATCATTTAAGGGACTTATTTCTTCAACTTTGCAGCACGCCACTGGAATCCAGAGAAGGATCATTAAAACTGGAAGAGAGGATTTTACTACTTTAGAACCTTACATCTCTGTCTGAGAGACAGACAGACACAGATAAGTCACAGAGAGATATTCACAGAGATACAAACTCAAAGAGAGATGCAGGGATAGTCACACAAAGAAAACGAGAGAGACTCACAAGGGAAAATATGATGAAAGTTAGAGACAGTCAAAGATAAGAAAAAGAGAAAGGGAACAGAAAGAGAAACTGAGATATACAGTTAGAAAAGAACAGAAAGAGAGAGAAGTGGAGATAGGGTCAGAGAAAGAGAAAGGTAGAAGCAGAGTGACAGGCAGGCAGGGAAAACACAGGGTCAAGAAAGACAGAAATAGATTGCCAGAAAGACAAATAATAAACAAAATGAAACAAACAAACAAACAAAAAAGTTAAGAGATAGGGAAAGTGATATAAAGATAGAAAGTCTGAGAGAATGAGATAGAAAAGGAGACTGAGACAGGCATACATACAGATAATAGGAAGGTTGACGATATAGATACCTAGATGATAGATAGATAGATAGATAGGTAGATAGACAGACAGACAGATAGATAGATAGACAGACAGATAACATAGAAAGACAGAGAGAGTGAGTGAGTCTGATCTAAGCATGGAGAATGAAATCGAATGTGTGTATGTAAGAGAGAGGATGTGAGGTGGGTCTTCTAGTTTCAATAACTGTTGCTATAGAGAATTGACAGTAAAATAAGAATACAGAACCAGATGGAATTGAGCTTTAATTATATTCCACTCCCTCACCAGCAAGGATCAAGTTGTTTAACTTCTCTGAGCCTTGGTTTCTGTCTGTAAAGGTTGATAAAAGGTTATAATTCACATATATAAAGTACACAAGCACAGAACCTGAAACCAAGGTATATTTCAGTAAATGGAGATTGATACTT